TGACCTTGCTTCTTTTACCTCTAGCTGTTTGACTAGGGGTAAGTTGTTTAAACTCTCTGAGCTTTAGTTGCCTCTTTTATAACATGAGAATAATATAGCTGCAGTCTGAAGTTAGAAGATAGTACTTAATAGATGGTTGTATCAATTATTGTTTTTATAAAGAACTCCAGGGGAGGAATCTGTCTTGTTCCCTGGACTTCCCCCTTGCTGCCCCACAGAGCCCGTCGGCATGGGGAGTGGAAAGCAGAGACAGACCTTCCCTTAGTAACTTGGACCAGCTTCTCCTAAGCCTGGTCTGTTCTTCCTGGGCACCTGCGCGGTTTGCACAGTGCAGCAGAGCTAATCCGCTGCTTCGGAGAAGTTGATCCAGCTGGCGGATTGAGTCTGGGGGCTCAGGGACACACGTGCCCCAAGTGATTGCTGTCCTTGTCATCAATCCACATTATTATCGGGCCCTGTTAGAGGGCACCGGAAAAAGCAGCTGCATTGGCTTAGAACCCCACCTCACTCTCCTGGGGGGCCGTCGGTGCTCAGCACGCTCAGTCCTGTCTGTGGGCTCGCAGGCCAGGTTCACGGGGCTTCTCCCCATGTTACACTGGGGTGGCAGGGGGCTGGGGCAGATTTAGACACCACACTGAGAGTTTAGCATGTGTGCATGTGTATTGTGTTTATGAAAGTGTGTATATTACCTCATTGTAGAAAATTCAGAAAATGAAAGCAATTTGAAATTACCTGTGATCCCACTACTCAGAGAGGACCAACATTAACTTACTGGTATGCTATACCTATATATTTTTTCCATGTGAACATTTTTATGCAGTGAAATCCTAGTGTACATTCAATCTGGTAATCTGCTTTTTTCATGTCACTTTTTCCCCATCTGTTCTAAGTCTAAATCTGAAACATCTTGGAATACATGCGTCCGTTCCACGTTGAACGCTTCCTGAGTGCCCCCCACGTGGCCAGCACTGTTCCTCGTTGAGTGGGAAGGACGCTGATGGCAGCCAGCACTGCTGCACGCTTCCTGAGTGCCAAGCACAGGCCTGGAGCCTCCACGCAACTTACCTGCTCCGAGTGCAGCTCCGTGGAGGGGAGCTAGGCTTGTTCAGCAGGAATCGCTAACATGAGTTGGGGGCCAGACCTTGTTCTGATTGTTTTACTTTCATTAGCTCATTTCTTCTCCATGACAACCCATTTTATAGATGAGCACACTGAGGCACGTGGAAGTTTGGTGACTTATCTAGGGATGCCCAACTAGAGCTAGGAGTCGAACCCAGGCAGTTTTCTCCTAAACCGGGCATTCTTAACCAGCATGGTGCCCTGCCTCTCCAGGAAGTGGTGAGCTTCAAAGGCAAGGTCTGGCCCCTGTCTTGCAGTTGGTGGAAGAGTGAGCTGCTTGACACAGGCCGTGATGTTCTAACAGAGGTGGGCACTTCAGAGCCCAGAGGAGCCACGTGGGATGGGAAAGGCATCACAGCAAAGAAGCTTCAGGGTTGGGTTGTGAAGGATGAGTCAGAATCCGCCATGTAGGAAAGTGGGCTGGGAGATCTCGGCGGGGAAGCAGTGTGTGTTGATGGGTAACTGGGGCCCAGAGGGTGAGGCCAGACGGCTCCAGACACTTCAGTGCTATCAGGGCCCATCCTCTGGTTCAGCGGGAACGCACCCCAGAGCCCTCACCTGGTTCCTGCCCATGCGGGAGAAACCTGTGTCTGAAACATAGGCCTGCTGGAATCTTTGGGAGGGGCCTTTACAGGGCCTCAGGGTCCTACCCGGTGTTGGCACTTTATACCGAGGTTGGCTAGTCCTGCTAGAGAGGATGGCTAGGCTGGTTAAAGAAGTTAGCATGTGCTTCGGTACCCTGGGGGCTTTGGGACCTGGCCTTCCAGCAGGGAGGGCCCAAATGATGTTCTCCCTGGTGTCCCATAGCCTGGCATCTCGTACCCTCTTCCATTCTGAAATAATGCACTGGAGTGGAAAACAGAGGTAAAGAACAGAGTAAGTAGGTTAATGTGTATTTATAGACTGTGAATTACTGGGTTCTTGAGAGGATTTTGGTCCTTTCACTGGTTTGGGAGCCAAGGCGCTTGCTTCCGCTGTGGAGTCGGGCTGGCGCAGCCCGGGAACACAGGCGGCGGGCGGTGTGACTTCCGGGGCTGCCGCTCAGGCCACAGGTCAGGTCAGCTTGTGACGCTGACTCAGTGTTTTCCAGAGGAGGCTGCCGCCCGCGCTCACAGGTGGAAGAATGCTCAGCACCCACGGAGTCTGTGCAGAAGACGGTAGGAAGGTGAAGGCAGGGCCAGCGCCAGCATCCCTGCAGTGGCTATGCCGGCACGTGTGGGGCAGGTCCAGCGTCACCCAAACAGGTTCCCACTCCCTGTCTCTCTCTCTCTTTTTAAAGGTTTTATTTGTTGATTTATTTTAGAGAGAGAGAGCGAGTGCCTGTACAGAGAGGGGGAGGGCAGAGGGAGAGGAAAAAGCAGACTCCGTGCTGAGTGCAGAGCCCGAGGCGGGTCTCAATCCCACAACCCCGAGATCACGACCTGAGCTGAAACCAAGAGTCGACGCTTAACCGACTGTGCCCCCCAGGCGCCCCTCCTACTCCATCTTTTTAACCTGCCTGGCTTCTCCCCACCTTCCCAGCCGTGTCTCAATAGCAGTCTCTCCAGGGCGTTGCATCTTCGGCTGCAGGCAGGTCCCCCACTGTCCCTGTCTATGGTGACTCTGCCCCATGTGGCCGTCGGTCTTATGTCCCAGGAGCCAGCAGGTGCCACGGTCATCATCCCTTTCCCCACTACCCATCTTTCCCTCGGTCATTCTGAATTAATGTGGTAACGTGCATTTACGGAGCCTCTGCTTACCTGTGAACTAGTGGGATTGGGGATGCTGTGGTGTAGCTGGTACTTATTGAGCGCCTGTTGTATGCCACGTCTTGTACTTACTAGCTAAATGACCTTGATCAAGTACCTTCACCTTCTTGGTTTCCTGTGGGGATGAGAGCCACTAGTCTGCTGGGTTGTGGTGGTGATCGAGTGAGATCACCTGCTTGTGGCAAGGGTCTGGCCTATTCGAGGTGTGCAGCGAGTATCTGAGTCAACAGAGGGACATGGCACGGCTTCTAAGCACCTTGCGTTGACACTGCCCCATCTGCTCCTGCTTGTTCGCACCCCGTCTCCGAGGGGCCACGGAGAATAAGTGTGGTCTGGTAGGTGTGCTATGGCCAGAGCGCGGCAGCTGGTTCTGGAGGGACTGTGCCTGGACCACGGACACTGTGTGGACCGTGTTCACAGCATGGGTCGACCCTGTGTTCTTCAGTATGGGCCGGGGTCAAGCACTCCATCTTCCACTGGATTCTTCTGTGGGGGTCCCAAGAGCAGGACTTCATGTTTGCCTCTGCCTTGAGCTGCCTCCTTGTGGGAAGTGGATGAGTACAGTGGCCCCGGAACCGTTGGCATGCTCTGGTTTTTGACCAGGGACAAGTGACTTAATCTCTTGAAGCTTTGGCTGCCTTATTCTGACAGAGGACATTTAGCACCGAGCACTGGTTCCCAGAAAGGTAAGTAAGCTCTGCAGAGATGGAAGCAGTAGCAAGTTGGGGGCTGACGGGTCTGTGGGAGGAGGGGAAGTAGCAGAGCCAGGGAGCTGGGCCCTGAGCGGGGAACCACAGCAGGGCCTTCTCGGTGGAAGGAGGGGCCTGTTTGAATGCTCTCCTATCACCTGGTTGGCAAGCAGAGGGTCTCGCCTTAGGGTGATGGGGATGGCCCAGCACGTGACCCTCGGCCTCTTGACAGTGATAACAGCAGTTTACTCGTCATGCATAGAGCCCGGGGGAGGAGGACACCACATGCACACAGGGCCACGTGGGGGTGACCCTCAGGAACAGAGGGAAGCCAGAGGCTGTGGGAGGCAGGCTCTGTAGTCACAAGGGGGTGGGTGCCCCTGGTTCCTGTGGGAGGCTGTCATTGACTTGCTTGAATCAGTCCAGGGCTGGCTGGGAACTGAAACCCGCCAGTGGGGGGTCAGCAGGGACTGCTCCTGGGAGGAGCATTGTTTGGGGGGCGACGGGGAGGGTGCTGGGGGAACAGGGGCATTCATGGATGCAGGGTGGGGGCTGGACTTGTGGTGGGGCCAGTCCAGGCCCTCCTGGTTCCACGAGATGCTGAGGCAGCACTTGACGTTAGGCCTTGATTTCAGGCCTGAAGCAGGGGTTGTCTGGCAGGTGTGGGAGCCATGAAGGTGACACAGCTGCTTCCAAACAGCACAAATGGGGCCTCCCCGCCCTGCCTCCTTCCCGTCTCCCTTCCTCCCCCTCAGTGCATTAGCACCTTTAGTTGTTACAGCACTTCACAGACACTGCTGTCCTGTGGTGTGGGAGTTGTCACCCCATTTCTACACGGAGACGCCTTGGCTTACAGGCGTCATTACCCTCCGTCTGCTCCACTTGGAGACAAAAAGGCATCAGACCCAAGGCCGTTTGGCTCTGACACGCAGGATCTCCCCAAGAAGGAGGCGGATTTGCCGGACAGTACAGAAGCCCCTCTGCAGGCTCTGCAGGTCCTGGGCGCAGCACCCAGTCCTGGGTTTCTGATTTTGAATCCTTGTTTCCTGAAGAGGGTCTCTCCTACTCACTGTGCTTCTCCCACTTGACGTGGATCTGTTTCTCCTGAAGGTGACATGACCTAGACAGTCCTTGTTGTGCAGAAATTCCGTTTAGCTCCGATTCCATTTATAAGAGCAAAGGATACATTGATTTTGTTGGTGAGAGGAAGCCGAGCAGTAGGAGCGGGGATGCTCTGGTCCCCCGTGCCTTGCTCACGGGCACGGGTCATTGCCTTGCAATACCCACGAGTCTGGGATTTTCTTGGTACTTTGATCTATCACATTTTAAATGGTTTGCCTTTTCCTTTGCTTTTGGGGCTGCATCAGGATTTTCCAGGGGGATTGGTAAGTCACATACTGCCTCAGTTCCACCGTCCTTATCACCACCCTCATTGTCATTGTAGAAAAACTGTACGGCGACTTCTTGAGCTGGAACCTGGAAGAAACCCTTGCCCAGTTTCCTCTGCAGCCGGGGAAGGTGGCCACTTTCGTGGTCAACATCAAGGTGAAGTTGGATTTCTCGTGCCAGGAGAACCTCCTCCAAGACCTCAGTGACGGTAAGCCCCCCTGCCCCCCAGTCTTAATCAGCAGGTCATGGCTCTTTGGTGCCTGCTGCTTGCTCATCGTTACTTGTTTGCCATCCATTAGCTCGAGCTGTCTGAGACTTCTCCTGGGCACTTAGTTCGCCCACTGGGTTCCTCTATAGATCTGAAAGCAATAAAGGTACTTTCTTGTTAAATCATTTCTTAATTCACGCTTTTTACTATTTTGTGCTCATTTGCCAGGAGGTCATCTTAAATTGGTGGAATTACTGCATTTTTTCAAGTATAACTGCTGTGATCTAATTAGCTATGGTGATAAAGTTCTCCTTCAGAGACTGGTGGTTTCTGCAAGGAGGTGGCGTCTGGAGAAAATGGGCATTTATACTCGTTGTAGCATTAGGACTAGCTTGATTAGGAGTAAGATTTACTGGATTAATTGTGTCAGATTACGAATGGGTGTATGCATTCATACGTTCATTTGGAGGCACCGTGGGGTGTATTAGTTAGTTCAGGCTGTCATAACAAGATCCACAGACTGTGTCCACATGACAGAAACTGATTTCCCGCAGTTCCGAAGGCTAAAAGTCTGAGATCAGGGTGCTGGCATGTTCTTATGAGGACAGCAACCCTGTTGGATTAGGGCCCCTCCCTTAGGACCTCACTTAACCTTTATCACCTCCTCACAGGCCCTGTCTTCACATACAGGCACATTTGGGGTTTGGGCTTCAACACAGGAATTTGGGGGGCCACAAGCATTGAGTTGAAGTGTATGGTTTGAGGCAGTCAGCAGATTCTGTCATTAGAACTTACTCTGTAACTTTGGGTGAGCGACTTTGACTTCTCTTAGTCTCCTAGTTTATGAAATGATGATGAGCATCTCTAGGGTTGTTGTGAGGATTTGCACTCCACCTGCAGCCTGGTAAAGGTTCAACAAATGTTAGTTATGTTATGTTCCCCCATCACTCATCTTCCATAGCATGACATGACATTTAACTGTTTCGTATTATGAAACAAGCACTGGACTGGGCTCTTGGACCACAGGATGAGTAACGAGGAAGGGTCTGGTCTGTCTCCTGAAGGACAATGATGATGATAGCAGCTAATATTTAAGAGGTTTACATGAATCAACTCACTTAATCCTCGCAGCAACCGTATGAAATAGGTGCTATTAATGTCTCCACTTTACAAATGAGGACATTAAGGCCTAGAGAGGTTGAGTAATGTTTCAAAGGTCACACAGCTAGGAAGTGGCAGAACTAGGTTATGAATCCAGGCAGCCTGACTCCAGAGCCTGTCCTTGTAACTCTTCTGTGGCCCAGGGGTCAGCCGGACAAATAAGTACGGGATTAGAGCGCCCCGAGACGCAGGGACACAATGAGATGTAGCTTACTTTATCTGGTGGGGTCCTGTAGGGGCTCCCAAAGTTGATGTGTGACTTGGGCCTGAACTGGGAAGCTTCCTCGATGAAGAAAAAGCATGGGCCTCCCAGGCCTTGCAAGAAATCCACTGGTACAGAGGCCCAGAGGCCTGTCCGTTTTGAAGTGGGTTTTACCTCCAGGGATGAGATGTCTGTCTCTCTCTGGGAATGGGACTCTGTTTCCCAGCCAGTCCCTCAGCCGTACGTGGGTGCTCAGGAATGATGCCGTCCCACTGAACTCGAGCGACAAAGCTTAGTTATGGTTTCCTGTTCCTGTGACGGGGACTGTCTTCCTCTTGTGCCCCTGAGGCACCTCCGGCCACACTGGCCACCTTGTCCCCAGAGCGTGCCCAGCTGTCCTGCCTGAGGGCCTCACCCAAATCGCTCTCTCCCACACCTCACTGTTCAGACGGCCGTTTGGAAGTCTCCGCTGTGGGGAGGCGGCCCCCAGCACGTCACCTGGACCAGCACCCCATCCCTCGTCATTCTTGTCAAGGCACCTGCGTTCTTAACTGCACTTTTTCCTGGAAGTGTCATGTTGGTTTTTCCTGTCCATCTGCCTCCATCCTCTAGATGAGAGGTTTTGGGGAACAAGGACCCCATGTGTCCTATTCAGCCTGTATTCACAGTATCCGGGCCACAACGGAGAAAGAGCCTTTGCACATTTGTGGTCAGGATGAGTGAGTGAGTGCCTCTTCCCCATCTCCTTCCCTTAGTAAGCGGGCTCCACGTTCAACGTCATTACCTCTCAGGGCCCCACCTTGGAGCACTGTCATCCTGGGTGTTAGGGCTTCAACGTAGGAATTTGGGGAGGACACAGACAGTCCATAACACTCGTCATGAAATTCGCTCTCCTTTGTGCTCTCTAGTGTTTAACCGTAACGAGCTTCCTTGTATAATAATATTGGATTAACATTTTGTTGGGTATATTATTAACAAAGGTAGAAAAGCAAATTTACTGTTGGACACATTAGAAACTGTGAAAATGTCAAGTGGATTTAACATTATACCAGGGCTTAAAGAATTTTAGATAAGATGGATTTTTTTTCTGTTTGTAAACTGCTTGATACCACCAGACTACATTTTTCTGCAAGTAGAGGGTTACGGGCAGAGGTTCTGACTTTTCTTTTTCCCAGGAAGGGAGTTTGGCAGAATAAATGGTGCCTCACAGCCGTCCAGGGAGTGCTTGATTAGCTCTCATCCCAGGGGCATGTCTGGGCTAGTAGACTTCCAGCCAAGCTACCTGGCTGTGAGGAGTCAAGGACCAAGGGATGCTGAGTTGGCTGCCTGCCAAAGGTGGTGGCGCGCTCTCCCTGGGAGACACGACAGGAGGCCTCCAGGGGAAACTGTACCCTTCTTCCTTGGGATGGCTCTGTGAGTTCATGTGCTCAGGCAGACGGGCTTTGTTAGGTTACTGTGTTTCTGCCTTTTGTCGTAGAGCTCTGGAAGGCCTTTGCCCTTCCAAGCTGAAAGTAAAACTAGTCCAAGATTTGTAGCCTGGGAATACCTTCTTGTATCCGTTAAAATAAAACGAGATCAAAGGGAGCTAGGATCATGATCACTAAGTGGTCTGTAAATATAAGACTGGCCTAATTTCCCATCAGTTAGCTACAGCACACGTGTGAAATAGAACATGGTGGTTACTAACCAGATGCCCTCTTTACTGATGATGGTTGTTTCCACAGCATATTGTAGGATTTGAGGCACAGAATCTTAATGTCCACAACCAGGGCAAGTCTTAGAGAGGAGAAAAGGTGGGCACCAAGGCCCACAAAAGACCTTCCAGGGTCTGGTGAGTGGATGATGCATTGTATGTGTAGTTTAGGCTAAGGAGTCAAGAATTTAAGAAACAAAACAAACAAGAAAACAAAAACTCCCCCAGACTCTCAGATACAGAGAACACACTGGTGGTTGCCTGAGCGGAGGTGGCTGGGGGGCTGGGTGAAGTAGGCAAAGGGGACCAAAAGAGGGCACTGACCTGGACCAGCACCGGCTGGTGGATGGAAGTGTTGAGTTGCCATGTTGCACGGCAGAGCTGATATTACACCGTGGGCTGACTACATTGGCCTAACACCAGGGAGGCCGTGTGTAGCCCTGCCTGGAGTCAGCCGTGACCTCAGCGGCAGTGGCCTCTGGGGACCAGGAGGTGACCTGTGTGCGGCTCTCAGTCTGACACGTTCAGAAACCTTCATCCAGGGAGCACTTGTGGACCCAGTTTGCTTTTCCAGCATGGACTCAGATTACCGAAATTAGATGCCATTTTAAGAATTTAGAACAATAAATATAGCTATCATGCAAGCCAGGACCCTGGGTTCCGTGTGGGCTGTAGGCACGTGGCAGAGAGGTAATATTTGTCGAGCGATGTCAGGTGCTGCATGTCAGCCTGGACTGGCCACTTGGTTTGGACTCTTTCTGTTTAACCTTCCCAACAGCTCTGGAAAGTCGATGATTTTACAAAATGATTCCCCTTTTTGTAAAACAGGTGGGAGGACGGTTGTAGATGAAAGGAGATTGAAGAGAAATCCAACAATGAAAGCTATATGCAATCCTCATCTTGTCCTGGATTTAATAAAAAGACTCGAAGGACATTTTTGGGACCTCAGCATTCTGGATGGGGCATGGGAGCAAGGACCTTCCTTGGCAGCCACCCTGCACAGCTGAGGAAGTGAGGGGCGGGCTCACACACTCTCCGAGTCCCTGAGGGAGAAATCCCAGGCTCTTGGTGTTGAGCTGTGCCGGGGGTGGGAGGGACGGCATGGCCGGTGGCACGGCCCTCCTCAGCATGTCCAGTTGCGGAGTTTTTTGCTTCTGTGGTACGCGGGCTCTTCTCCACTGGACTCCTAGACCTCCACAGAGGCTCTCTCGCTTGTGGGTGATTGTCTAAGTCAGTGTGCTTTGGGGGGAAGATGGTAGAAAACTCTTACTCCTCTATGATGACGGTGCCACTCTCTGCAAAAGTAGTTTTGAACTGCTTTTAATAATTCTTTTGATTGAGATAATATTGGTACTGGTATTCGGAAACTATGTATTGATGTGGAATAAAGTGAGTAATTAATTTTGTGACAATCTGATTCTAGCATCTGGTCTTGAACTAGGATTCTCGTATGGAAGAAAGGAGGTAATAGATGTAAGAGAATAGAGATTAAGTAAAAACCTTGTAGTCCAGGCCTTGAATAAAAGTAACAGCATGAAAGGGCGCCTGGGTGGCTCAGACAGTTAAGCGTCTGCCTTTGGCTCAGGTCACCATCCAGGGTCCCGGGATCGAGCCCCACGTCGGGCTCCGTGCTCCACGGGGAGTCCGCTTCTCCCTCTGCTTCTACCCCTGTGCTTGTGCACAAGCACATGCACTCTCTCTGTGTCTCTCAAATAAATAAAATCTTAAAAAAAATGAAATTATGAGGTATTTAAAAATAAGTCCACCTATCTGTCTGCCCTGTATGCGGCCAAGGCCTGGAAACTGACCATCTCCCAGAGCAGGGAGCTTTCCGAATCCCCACGTCACGGTCGGGAAGCGCTCTTCCTGACTCGGAGAAGCCAGGGCTCCTTGGAGTGGGCCTGGTCCTGGTCTGGAGTGGGAAGTGTAGTCGGACGATCTTGA